TTATATAGTTCTGGCTCAGTGAGCCAATCCAGTGAAGAGCCGATTCAGGTGAGCCATCTAGTCCCCAAGACTGAGCTGCAGGAAGATTACAGATACCCTTTAGTCCTTGTGTGATGGTGCCAATTGAGGAGGCATCAATCCAGAAAACAAAAGAGAAACTGAAGGCATTTGAAATTTCAGAAATGAGGGTTGACTCTAGCTCTTTGATGATACTCACCAGTCAGACATTTCCTCAACAAACTTCAAACAAATCTGAGTCTTTCCAATACCCCCCATTCCATACAACAGAAATGACTTCCTTTTGTGAGCTGAGTCATCTGCACTGAAAAAATGCTGCTTGAGCTTGGCAATGACTTCTGTGCGACCCGTGAACTGAATGCTCGGATTTGGCGGAAGGGGAATGACGCCTTTTAATGTAGTCCTATTGCCATAGTTGTTGTGGATGTTGATCTGCAAGAGATTCATCAGCTTATTTGATGGGTACCTTTTGTGAACGGTCCACTCACATCATTGAATGTGTTGTTGCTAGCAACAAAGTTGTAAGCGCCCGCAAAGCTCATGTTGAGAATGAGATACCGATGGAGAGGTTCAGGATGAGGGAAGGAAGGAAAGGAGAGCGCCCGGAGGCCACAAGACCCCCAGTTTTGCCACGGCTGTGAGGGAATGTTTGGTTTGGACACCTGACAGAGTTTGAAGTGCTTGCAAGAAGTTGCTGCTGACATTGTGAACGTGTTGGTCTATTTTTGTGTATCACGCCTGGTTACGTGACCCGGGTTACGTCACGTGAGCGCTGGCAACCCTCCCTTTTGGCGCGCGCCGTCACCTCCGTCACGCGGCTGGTAACCTCTCTCCGGCGATCCGCGTTCGCGGAGTCCTCGATAGGATAGATAGCGTCACACAAATGAATCTGTTTTTTCCGCTCTCTCCCCGTTCCCCTCTGATCCCTGTCTCCCCTCCTTCTCTCTGTGAACAACGGTCTACTCTTGCCCCCGGGCATCCCTGAACACCCAACTGGGTTGTTTGCACCTCAGCCCCCCTCTCCATTCAGTCCCTGTCTGACCCCCTCATCTGTTCGAGCGAGGTGATCCCGATTGAGGAAACCGCGCATCCCGAAGGTGGAAACCGCTATTGCGGCTCCCACTTTTCCCTCGAGAACGGGATCCTCGAATGCGACCCCAACGATAGCGGATAGTGAAGTCCCGATTGCGGCATCGAAAGGTGTTTCCGCGATCGAGGAAACCTTTTCAGATGTATTAAATAGACTACATCTCGAGAATAAAAGACAAAATTTTAAGAGCCACATCTGTAGTGAGGCTCATCAAAATACAGATAATGCATGGTTAACATTTTAATGAGGTTCTTTGCTGAAATTTGGTCTGAACTATTGCCTGTAAAAAGAATGGTTACCATGTTTCTGGGAGGGCTCATTGAAAAAGCACACACATCACATATTTTTTTTTCCGCCACCAGAACGGTTGGTCTCGAGCCTAGAACGTGTGCTCTC